GACTCCAATCAGTCTTATGTTATTCTTCTTTGCATCATCTAGCAGCTGCTGGATTGATTTCTTGTGGTTCCTTACAATTTTAAAGAATTTTTTCTTTTCCTGGTCACTAATTGCAATCTTATCTTCTATATCAGAAATTCTGTCTTCATATTGGCTCATTCTGCTGCATAGACTTTCAATGGAGTTTTTAATCACCTGGAAATCTGTTTGCATCTGTTTTATGGATTCCATTTGTTTCCTATGTTGGCATTCCATCATGTTCCCCAGCTCGTCTATTTTTTCATCTGTGTCCTCTCTAGATTTATTAATCATGTCTTGCACTATGGGCACAATCTTTGCTGTTATGTGAGAAATTATTTTTGATTTCATTTTTTCCAGATCTTTTTCATTGCTAGTTCAGGGAGTCCAGGTGATTATCAGAGTGGTCCATCTTGTTTCCCTTTGGGGTTGTTGTGGGTGATCTGGAAGTCTGGTTCTGAGGCTTGTTTACCTGTCTTCTCATTTCAACCAGTGTGTGTGTGTGTGTGTGTGTGTGTGTTCCTGGTACCCTTGCAGCTCACCTCCTCTGTGCTGGGAGCTGTGGCACAGGTACCCAGAAGCCTCCTCCTGGCTGGGAGCTGTGGCACACTGACCTGGAAATCTCCTCTGGGCTGGGAGCTGAGGCATGCTGACCTGGATGTCTCCTCTGGCAACATATTCTCAAATACTCAATTAGTCCAAGAAAAAATAAAAGGAGAAATCAATGAATGAAATGAAGACAAGATATAACAACACTTGTGTGACACAGTGAAAGTAGTGCTTAGAGAAAAATTTATAGCTATAAATTCTTATATTAAGAAAGGAAAAATATCAAATCCATACTTGACCTAAACTCTCACTTTAATACTATAGAAAAAGAAACAAATTAAGCCAAAAGCAAAAAGGAATTACATAGTAAAAATTACAGCAGAAATTAATGAAATAAAGAATAGAAAACCAATAGACAAAAAATCAGTGAAACCAAAACCTAGTTCTCTGAACAGTTCAACAAAATTGGCAAAGTTTTAGCTAAATTGACTGAGAAAAAAAAGGGAGAAGACTCAAATTACTAGAATCAGAAATGAAAGATGGACTCTTACAGAGAACCTTACAGAAATGGAAAGGATTATAAAGAAATACTTTGAATAATTATATGTTGATAAATTAGATAATGTAGATAAAATGTACAAATTCCTAGAAAGACACAAACTACTAACACTGACTGAACCAAAAATAGTAAACCTGGGACCTGGGATTTAGCTCAGTGGTTCTGGCACCTGCCTCACAACTGCAAGGTCCCGAGTTTAATCCTCAGTACCAAAAAAGAAAGAAAGAAAGAAATAATAAAGCTGAATGGACCTATAACAAGTGAGAAGATTAAATTAGTAATCAATAAAACTGCACACAAAGACAAGTGCAGGCCAAGGTGGCTTTCCCACTGAAATATATCAAATATTTAATAAAATTAATAACCAATTTTTTATAGATTCAATGAAATTCTTTTTAATATTCCTGCTGAATTCTTTGTAGAAATTGAAAAGTTGATTCTAGCATTTACAAGAATTTGCAAGGGACCCAAAACCAGGAAAATAATCTTGAAAAAAAACAAAGTAGGAGGATTCATGCATTTCAACAAATGATGCTGGGACAACTGGACATCTTTATACAAAAGAATGAAGTTTGACGCTTATCTCATCCCATATACAAAAATTAACTCAAAATATATCAGAGCCTAAGAGCTAAAACTATAAAACTCTTAGAAAAAAACATAGGATAAATCTTTATGACCTTGGATTTGGCAAAGCATTCTTGGATATGGCAACAAAAGTATGAACAATAAGAGAAAAATAGATAAACTAGATTTCATCAAAATTAAAAACCTTTGTACTTCAAAGAACATCATAAAGGAAAATGAAAAGACAAACCACAGGATGTAAGAAACATTTACAATTCTTAAATCTGGTAAGGGAATTGTATGCAGAATATACAAAACAACTCTATCAGTTCAATAATAAAGATGACAACCCAACTTAAAACATGGGAAAAGAATCTAAATTGATACTTACCTAAAGAAGACATATAAACCCGCTGCAGACAGGCAGGTCTGTGGATGCCCTATCGAGGTCGTGAGTCATGTGCAACACGCCAAATCAGCCGCAGCCTGGCAGTAATCCATTGGACACCCCCCCACACACCTCCTCTGGCTTCTTCTCTCTATAGCCACCTGGTTCCACACTACAAAGACACAGAGGACACCAGACCACCAGACCACTGCACTGGGTAAGTTGGAGTCATCTTCACCTCCCTTCAGGACTGGGTCTATCTTCAGGCAAAGGGCAGCTGGAACCTGCAATACAACTCTGCAGAGTTCAACCCTACAGGAGGACAGGGAGCTCAACTTGGGACTTGCAGCCAGAAATCTGCCTGAATCTCATGCGTCTGTGACTAGCTTGCTGACACTCATTGACTTATATCTGCACACTGCTACCCACGTTGTCTATTGTGACAGCAGAGGCATACCCTGAAAGAGGCCCTTCTTCATCATTGTTTTTTTTTATTCCCAAAATTAGCATTATTAGTTTGGTTTCTTTTCTCTTTTCTTTTGCTCCTCTTATCTTTAATTTTTTTCCTACTCTTTGCAAATATTTGTTTTTCTCTCCTTTTTTTCTTTTCTTTTCTTCTTTCTTTTCTCTTTCCTTTCTCTCTCTCTCTTACACTCACTCTCTTGCTCTC